AGGGCTGGAGAAAGTTACTGAGATATTTTCAGTCTCTTTTCAGTGTTGCTGTCTGGCCTGCTGCGTATTCTATACTGCAATTCTTAGAGGAGGACTTGCAGTTGTTGATATTCCAATGGCAAAATTTTCCATTCCCTTGAGTGGCATGGGAAATAACAAGTAATGGTGGGAAATGTGTAAAAATGAAACAACTTGAAACTCAAAGTCAAGAAAATCAATTTCAAATTTCCATTAAAATTTGAACAGTGATTTCAGAATCTTGCTGAAAAATGGCAACAATCTCAGCTCAGTGCATTTGCACCTAATTTCTACATAGCTTCCAATTCTCCTCTCCCCATTGGCACAGTGGCTGAGCTCAGTGGTTAGCACCACTGTCTCACAGCACCAGGGACCCCCAGGTTTGATTCCAGCCTCGGGTGATTGCCTGTGTTGAGTTTGCATATTCTTGTCTCTGTGAGGGTTTCCTCCAGGTGCTCCAGTTTCTTTGCACAGTCGAGAGATGCACAGTTTAGCTGGTTTAGCCATGCTAAATTGCCCAGAGGGTCCAGGGATGTGCTGGCTAGGTGGATTATGCATAGGAAATGCGGGGTAATGCATTGGGCCTGGGTAGGCTGCTCTTTGGAGGGTTGGTTTGGACTTAATGGGCCAAATGGCCTGCTCCCACACTGTAGGGGTCATATGAAGAAGGTAGTAAGAACTGCCGATGCTGAAATCAGAGATAACACGGTGTGGAGCTGGAGGAGCACAGCAGGCCAGGCAGCATCAGAGGAGCAGGAAAGTTGATGTTTCGGGTCGGGACCCTTCTTCAGAAATGGGGAGGGGAAGGAAGCTCTGAAATAAATAGAGAGAGGAGGGGTGGGGTTGGGGAAGGTAAGTGTGATGGTGATAGGTGAGTACAGAAAGACAGTGGTGGGGATTGGTCAGTGAGGTGCGAGGAGTGGATAGGTGGGAGAGAAGTTGGACAGGTTGTGTCAGGTCAAGGAGGCAGGGATGAGAGGATGGATTGGTTATGGAATAAGACCGGAGGTGGAGACATTTTGAAACTGGTAAAAGTCCACATTAAGACATTGGGTTGTAGGCTTCCAGGGCGGAATATGAGGTGCTGCTCCTCCAGTGTCCGGGTGGCATCATTGTGACACTGGAGGAGGCCAAGGAAGGACAAGTCACCCAGGGAGTGGGAGGGGGATTGAAATGGTTCGCAACTGGAAGGTGTTGTCGTTTGTCATGAGCAGAGCGCAGGTGCTCTACAAAGCAGTCTCCAAGCATCTGCTTCATCTCACCGATGTAGAGGAGGCCACAACGGGAGCAGCGGATGCAATAGATTGCATTAACAGATGTGCAGGTGAACTTCTGTCTGAGTGAAAGGTTTGTTTGGTGCCTTAGATGGAGGTGAATGGGGGAGGTGTAGGGGCAGGTGCAGCACTTCCTGCGGTTGCAGGGAAAGGTGCCGGTGGTGCCGGGGCTAGTGGGGAGTGTGGAGCCGACGAGGGAGTCGCGGAGAGAGCGGTCCCTATGGAAGGCAGATAGGAGTGGGGAGGGGAATATATCTTTGGTTTGGGGTCGGATTGCAGGTGGCGGAAGTGGCGGAGAATGATACGTTGAATACAGAGGTTAGTGGGGTGATACACGGGTACAAGGGGGATTCTGTCTTTGTTTTTGTTGTGGGGAGGGGATGTGAGGGCAGAGGCGCAGGAAACGCAAGAGATGCAGTCAAGAGCATTTTCGATCACCGAAAATGCGGTCCTTGAAATAAGAGGACATCTGGGATGTTTGGGAATGGAACACCCCATCGTGGGAGCAGATGCGGAGGAGGCGAAGGAATTGGGAGTAGGGGAATGGGATTCTTGCAGGAATGTGGGTGAGGGGAGGTGTGTAGTCTAGGTAGCTGTGGGAGTCAGTGGGTTTGAAATAGATGTTGGTTTCGAGGCGGTCACCAGAGATGGAGACAGAGAGGTCCAGGAAGGAGAGGGAGGTATCGGAGATTGTCCAGGTGAATTTGAGATCGGGGTGAAAGGTGTTAGTAAAGTTGATGAACTGTTCAATCTCCTAGTGGGAGCACGAGGCAGCACCGATACAGTCATTGATGTAGTGGAGGAAGAGGTCGGGGATAGGGCCAGTGTAGCAATGGAAGAGGGACTGTTCCATGTATCCTACAAAGAGGCAGGCATAGCTTGGGCCCATGCAGGTTCCCATGGCCACCCCTTAGGCTGTAGGAAGTGGGAGGAGTTGAAGGAGAAGTTGTTAAGGGTAAGGACAAGTTTGGTTAGGCATGAATATGTCACCATTTAAATAATATTCCAATTCTCCTCTCCTTCCCAATTCCTGACATCTAATTCACAGCAGAAACCTGGCTGCTTCAGCAGCTTACCATTTGTTTCTCAGACAATTTTGTCTTCATTACAACATCATTCCATGGTCCATGTACACCATCCTCTTCCACCCTTTGTCCAAGTAAATCACCGTCTCACCATGTCACCATGACTACTTTCAGACTAACTCACACATCAATTCACTCTTTCAGGACTTCACTTCGGAGCTGAGGAACACCTATAACTTGCATGCTTCTGCCAAGACAATTTGCGCACAGGGATGTATAGGTATCTCATGCAGCGACACATTCTCTTATCACTTTTAGCTTTGTTTCTTAGTATTCACTCCCTTTACAGTTACTTGGGGGCTACCAGTCTCTATGTCTTGCATTGCTTTTTAGAGGAGGAGAGGCGGACAGCTTGTCACGGTTCAGAGCAATAAAGAGTTCAGGGAGTGGACATGTTCCGGTATAGCACATTGATATATTTATGTCACAAATGCACTAATGCACCAGCTGCTTGCATTGCAAGGATGCTTTGCATGCATGACAAACAAATGGCCATGTCTGAAAGTCAAATTCAAAGTTCTTAGTGGGATTAAGGTGAATTCTGGTTAGTCAGGGACCGCTACCACAGTTAGTCAAGGGGATCATCTGATTCCAGTCAAAGGTTTGGTCCTGATTAGCCAAGTGAGTTATCCTAACAGGTTCCAGGAATCCATGTCTTTGTAGTCTGGTTATTGGACCACAGTCAGTCCCTAGTTGACGTGCAGAGATTCAAGAGTTTATTCAGGATATTGTGGAGACCTCAATATGGTAGGGGTTTTGAGGTGCATGGGGTGGGGGTGTCAGTTGGCTATTTATTGGTCATTGGTCATTTCCATGACATGAATGCCTGAAGGATAAATAAGTTCAAAAGCCAATGAAATCATAACAGAGAATGAATCAAATTCACAGATGAACACCAATTTCCCATCAAATCTTGTTTCTTTGTAATGAGCATTTCTATTTGGCCATTAAGCTTCTGAAAATATAAGGGTTAGCATTTTTGAAATATGTACATTTTAGCAGCTCTTGGCTGATATGTATTTCAGATTTGTGTGCTTTTCCTCTACCATATGAACTTCTTTGACTTTTTATTAAAATATTCCATTCTGATCAAGTCTTAGGAAAGGCCTCACATTTATCTCTGAGAAATACATATTTGGTTTTACATTTTTAGAGCAACCTTTAACATGAATTGGATTGGGAAGATTTTCATTGTGACACAGGAGAGATGATGTTAATCCACTGTCAAGATATTCCCAATGCTCGGAGTGGGGTGCGAGAAGGGAGATACTGTGTGCTACATGAAACTAAAATGGCAATAAGTCCACCTTACATATAGGCCCCTGGACCTATATATCCTAACGAGTCTCCTACAGTTCCTTTGAGGATTGTTGGAGAGCTAAATTAAAGAGCGGCACCAGGTGAGAGTTCACAAGGAAGGTGTGGGCTGACGAATGCTAGTGTTTATTTCCCTAGTGCCTGCCTTTCAATGCAAGATCTGTATTTAAATGTTGGCCTGAGGCAATATGGTGTTCTGCAATGCAAAACATAGAATCATGTCTGCAGTTTTAAGTTCCTGAATTCAACAACTCTGCAGTGATTTGAAGAAAGTTGTTACTTCACCTCCTTTTATGGATTTAATATTGCAGCAATTGTACCATCAATTCAAATTGTTTACTTTACAAATTGGCTTTTCTCACATATGAGTTTGGTTTAATTAAGCACAAAAGTAAAACAAATAACAGGAAATCAGAAAGAAAAACAGATATTGCTGGAGAATCTCAGCAGGTCTGACAACATCTGTGCAGAGAAAGCAGAGTTAACCTTTCGTCTCTGGTGACCTTTCTTCTGAACTATTGGCAGCTAGAAAAATTGGTGTATATGCTGAAGACGGGGAATGGAGTAAGCGAATAGTTGGAGATACTTACACCTTCTTCCTCTCCCCGCTGTCTTCAGCATGTGTTCCACTTTTTCTGAGCTTACCGTTAGATCTGAGGAAGGGTCACTGGACCAGAAACGTTAACTCTGTTTTCTCATTGCAGATGCTGCCATACCTGCTGAATTTCACCAGCAATTTCTGTTTTGCTTTAGCAAAGTATCAATGTAGAAAGTAAAATTCACTATATTTACCCAAGCAGCTCTAGTGAAATTTATTGACATTGGATCAGTACTATAATCACCTACGACTTTTGTGGCATACATCTGAGTCAGGAGATCTGTGTTCAAGTCCCATCTTCTTCAAAGGCTTGTGATAGCATCTCTCAACGAGTTGACTGGAAAAATATCTGTATTTTCTTAGTGCAATGTACACTTATCCGGTGTAATTCTAGAGCAAAATTATAATCAAAGTGCACTTGCGGTGTCTCACAGCCGTGTGCATTACATCTCTGAACGGGTTGATTAGAAAATATCCATTTAAATCTCCAGCCTTCTTTTAACTGAGGTACTTTTAATAATCTATAAAGTAATGTCATTTTGAGGATCTTGTGGCACAACAATTATGTCCCTTCTCCTAAGCCAGAACATCCCAGTTCAAATCCCACTCGTCCGGGAGCTGTGTCAGAACACATCTGAACGGGTAAATTGTAGGTATGTAGAGTAATGACGTGGGAAATAATTAAACTTTTTTTTAATTTCTTAACAGGGCACTTCAAGCTTATTCCCGATGGATACCCTTACACATCAGTTGAGGAAATCATTAAATCATTAGATATTGAAAATCAGAATTCAGAATTGATCACCTTTCAGTCCCTTAAAGATATCATCACAAATGATTTTGTTATTGGAAAGGGAGACCCCATAACAGTCACATCAACTGAGTTTCGTGAGGGACAGAAATATGCGAATTGTATTGTGGATGGTGATTTTGAGCAGGTCCACGTTGCACTATCGTTTGCTTTGAAAGGGGAGTTTTATGAATGTGAAGACAACAAGCTATATACTGTTAAGGACATCGTGGAGTCGAAAATTCTGACGAAAAGAAGAGTGAGTCTTGCTGAAGTGAAGGGTGTCTGCATGCCGAAACATTTTCAGGGGGCATTAGTGCTGTCACCCGTATATGAAATTCAAGCAATTATGCACTGTAAGTGAACATTTTAGCAATGGTTTTCATTTCTTTCTGACTCCATCCATGGCAAAAACACTGTTCAATTGCATTATGTGAACCCTAAGTATGGTAGAATCAATATATTATGTAAGTGAGCGTGACAAAACTGGACACAGTTTCCATAAAGTATTCCTCTTAAGGTGGTAGAGATAACACAGTGTGGAGCTGGAGGAACGCAGCAGGCCAGGCAGGTGTGTGTGAGCCCTTCTGTTCAAAATATATAGTTAGTATGAGCTGGGTTTGTTGGTGTGACAATACCGAAGACGAGATTTCTGCCTTTTCCGCAATAAATGCCAGTACAGAAGCTTCGAATGTTTCACTAAAGTTTGTCTCATCAGCTCTTTCAGAGGTAAAGCGCAGAAATCATTGCTCAAGATGCAGTTTGAATATTGGGGTTACATTAGCTTGAGACGATAGTATATGGCGCCTACGCATTTCTCCTAGTTTCCATTTTCAGTTATTTCAACGGAAGACTGAAAGAAATGTGTTTCAGATAGCTGAACCTCCACAGCAATGTGGTTGACTCTCAACTGCCCTCTGGGCAATTAGAGATGGGCAATAAATTCTGCTCACATCCTGTGAATGGGTGATGTGATTCCACTTTTCAAGAAAGGTGATACAGGTGAATCAGGAAATTCCAGACTGATGAGTGTCACATCAGTTGTAGGGAAACTATTGGAGAAAATTCTGAAGGAGAGAATTAATATGCACTTGGAAAAGCATGGATTAATTAGGGAGATCATGCCTAACAAATTCGTTAGAATTTTTGAAAGTGTGGTCAAGTGTGTGGATGAGGAAGTTCAGTTGATGTTAGATTATATGGATTTTAACAAAGTTTTTGACAAAGTCCCACACGGAAGACTGAGAAGTTTAAAGCACATGGAATTCAGGGAAACTTGGCATGATGGATCAGAAACTGGCATAGTAATAGGACACAAAGGGTAGTAGAAGAAGGCTGTTCGAGTGACTGCAGGCCAGTGTCCATCAGTGTATCACAGCGATCAGTGCTGGAACCCTTATTGTTTGCTATATATGTTACTTACATAGATGAAAATGTGAAGGAAATAAGCAAATTTGCAGACAACAGCAAGATTGGTAGGGTAGCTAATAGTGAAAAAGATGATTGTAGGTTACAAGAAGATATAGATGGATTAGTCAGATGGGCAGAGAAGTGGCTGATGGTATTTAACCTGATAAATGCAAGGTGATGTACTTTGGAAGAAGAAACAAGGTGAGGAAATATTTAATGAATGGCTGAATGCTGGGTAGCCCAGAGGAATAGAAGGCTCTTAGGATAATTATTCACAGATCCCTGAAGTTGGCAGAGCACAAGAATATGATAGTTAAGAAGGCATATGGGACACTTGCTTTTATTAGTTGTGGCATAGAGTACAAAAGCAAGGAAGTAATGTTGGAATTGTATAGAGTGTTGGTTAGGCCACAGCTGGAGTACTGTGTACAGTTCTAGTCACCTCACTACAGGAGGATGTGATAGCACTAGATGGGATACAGAGGAGGTTCACCAGGATGTTGCCTGGGATGGAGCAATTGAGCTAAAGGAGAGATTATATAGGCTTGAATTGTTTTTTTTAGAGCAGAGAAGGCTGAGGGGAGACATCGAGGTGTATCAGATTATGAGGGCTTTGGACAGAGTGAGTAGGGAGTAGCTGTTCCCCTTGGTTGAGGAATCATAGTTTTAGGGCATTGTTTTAGAGCAAGAGGCAGGAGATTTGGAGGGGATTTGAGAAAAAACTTTTCATTCAGAGGGTGGTGGGTGTCTGGAATGCACTGTCTGGAAAGGTAGTGGAGGCTGAAAACCTTGAAACCTTTAAAAAATATTTGGATGAGCACTTGAAATATCATAATATTCAAGGATATGGGACAAGAGCAGGAAGTTGGGGTTAGTGCACCTTTCTCGGCAGTTATTGTTTATGTGGACTCAATAGACCAAAGGACCTTTTTCTGCACTGTACAAATCTATGACTCTATGACTCCAAAACACCTGGTGCCATTAATCAGCAGTTTTGGTTATGAGGTGACAGTAGAAAAATGTGACACTTTTTCATTGGAGGATTACAACATTGAAAAAACAATTACATTTAAAATATATTTGGATAGGTACGTGGATGGGAAAGGTTTAGAGGGATATGGGCCAGTTTCCCATGGCTAACACACCTCATAGACCAGTTTAGGAAATCTGATCGGCATGGACAAGTTGGGCCAAAGGGCCTGTTTCCATGCTGTACGACTCTATAAGAGCCAGTTCAAAATCATGAGAGGTTTGAATGAAGTATATTCAGAAAAGCTGCTAATATTGGTAATTTTTCTTTATTCATTCACACAGGATGAGGGCATCACTGGTCAGGCAGCATTTATTGCTCTTTCCTAATTGCCTAATTAAGAGTCAACCACATTGCTGTGGGTCTCAAATCACACGTAGGTCACACTGGGTAAGGACGGTAGTTTCCTTCCCTAAAGAACATTAGTGAACCAGATGGGTTTTTCCCTAACAATCAGCAATGGATTCATGGTCATCATTAGGTTCTTTAATTCCAGATGTTTCTTGAATTCAAGTTCCACCATCTGCCACGGTAGGATTCAAACCTGGATTCCCAAAACATTATCTAGGTCTTTGGGTTAACAGTCCAGTGATAATACCACTAGGCCATCGCCTCCCCTCGAAGATCATAAATTGAAGATCATCACATTAAGGGATAAGGGAGCAATTGGGAGATTATTTTTATAGAGTCATAGATTCATGCAGCATGAAAACAGATCCTTTGGTCCAATTCATCCATGCCAACCAAGTTTCCCAAACTAAATTAATCCCATTTACCTGAGTTTGGCCCATATCCTTTTAAATCTTTCCTATTCATGTACCTATCTAAATGTCTTTTAAATGTTGTAACTGTACCTGCACCTACCACTTCCTCTGTTCAGGCTGAATGGCCAATTTTGGTGCTGTAAAATTCAACATAAAGTCTGACTGTCTTTCAGGTTTGTTGATGGGTTACAAAAGCAAGTTGTTGTTGTATGACACAGAGAACAATATAAAATCCATGGGGCTATAGCAGAAAGGTTGATAAAGGCACAAAATGGGAACATTCCCATTTATGATGGGAAACATGGCTGGGAGAAAGTCCATCAAAATTTCTGCAAGTACCAAGCTCATATGGAACACAGGGAGAACTCACCATTAGGATACAAAATTGGCTCGAAGGTAGGAGACAGAGGGTGGTGGTGGAGTGTTGTTTTTCAGACTGGAGGCCTGTGATTAGTGTTGCGCCGCAAAGATTACTCCTGGGTCCACTGCTTTTTGTCATTTATTTAAGTGATTTGGATATGAATATAGAAGGTATGTTAGTAAGTTTGCAGATGACACCAACATTGTTGGTGTCATGGACAGCGAAGAAGGTTACCTCAGAGTACAAAGGGATCTCGATGGGCCAAGGAGTGTCAGGCAAAGTTTAATCTAGATAAAAGTGAGCTGCTACATTTTGGTGGGGCAAATCAGTACAGGACTTATACACTTTAGGGTAAAGATCTGGAGTGTGCAGATTCATAGTTCCCTGAAAGTGGAGTTGCAGGTAGACAGGGTAGTGAAGAAGACGTTTGATATGCTTGCTTTCTTGGTCAGTGCATTGAGTATAGGAGTTAGGAAGTCACATTGCGACTATACAGGACATTGGTAAGGCCGCTTTTGGAATACCATGTTCAATTCTGGTCTCCCTCCTATAGGAAATATGTTAATAAAAACCGAAAGAACTGCAGATGCTGTAAATCAGGAACAAAAACAGAAGTTGCTGGAAAAGCTCAGTAGCTCTGGCAGCAACTGTGGAGAAAAAAATCAGAGTTAACGTTTTGGGTCCAGTGACCCTTCCTCAGAAATATGTTGTTAAACTTGAAAGAGTTTAGAAAAGATTTACAAGGATGTTGATGGGGTTGGAGGGTTGAGCTATAGACAGAGGCTGAATAGGCTTGAGCCAATTTTCCTGAAGCATCAGAAGAGGGACCTTATTGTGTGACCTTGTAGAAGTTTATAAAATCATGAGGGGCATGGATAGGGTGAATAGTCAATGTCTTTTCTCAAGGGTAGGGGAGTCCAAAACTAGAGGACATAGGTTTAAGGTGAAAGGGGAAAAATTTAAAAGGGACCTAAGGGGCAACTTTTTCACGCAGAGGGTGGTGCGTGTATGGAATGTACTGCCAGAGGAAGTGGTGGTGGCTGGTACAATTACAACATTTAAAAGGCATCTGGGTCAGTATATGAATAAGACTAATTCATTGGCACTGACATAAAAGATGTGATTTTCCAAAGGGCACTTTAAGCGGCTTTCAAGCTGTTTAGTAGTGTCGATGTGGTTTGCAGTGAACTTGTCAGTCAGTACTATCTTCCTTCCTGTCCCTCGTTTTAAACTGCCTGTTTCTTTCTTCCCATAGACTAATTTATTATGCCCAGATAAATGCCAAACAAAGAAAAGTGATGAAAATAGGACTGAATTTTGCATTTCTTCATTGTCACTGGGTCAAAATTCTGGAGTTCCCTTTCTAATATCACGGCGATTGGCCTCCAGCCCATGGACTACAGCAGTTCAGGAAGGCAACTTAACACCACCTTCTCAAGGGCAATTAGGGCAATAAATGCTGACCCCACGGGTGATGCCCACATCCTGTGAGCAAACATAAAAAAGTAAGTAACTAAGCAAGGGCATTCATCACCAACTACTAAGAAAACTGGCCACATAGCTCTAAAGAACACTGTAGCACATCCAAAGGCATGTTGTATCTCTTGCCGAGCCAAGGAGATCTCCAGGCATCCAACAGCAGTGATGTCAGCAAGTAGGGAAGCAGTAATTGTGTCAAACGTAGCAAACTAAAACTTAATGTCCTTGATATTTAATTTAAATGCTCAGATAATATAATAAATGATTGATTGAAATAAAAAAGGAGCTAAACTAGAGTTTTTTTAACAAAAC